TATATATATATATATATATATATATATATATACCAAGTGTTAAGAGGAAGTTTTGGCATTAGAACTCAATGATCAAGTTTATTTTTGGTATGAACACTACAAGAAAAAATACGTTTAGTGACGCTTATTTTTTTGTTTAATGACGTTTATTAATGTCATAAAAAATTTACCTACACTATTAAAAGTGTCGCAAGTTGCGTTGCTAAATTTGATGTCACGAAATTATCTGCGACACAAGACTTAAGCGTAGGTAAGTTTTCATGTGTGACGCTTTTCTAAATGTGTCGCTTTTGTAGAATTTGTGACGCAAGTCGTTTGTGTCTGCAAAAATCATGCTCGACGCTTTTTTAATGCGTCATCATTATAAATTTTGGTGACACTTTATTACATGCGTCGTTATAATGAATTTTGATGACACAAAATTTATGCGTTGATAAATTTAATTGCGCAACACTTTTTATAGCGTCATGATTATGTATTTAACAACACCATTCTGCAACGATTTCATTAGGGATGACAATGAGCCAGGTCGGGCCAGGTATTTACGGACCCAAACCTAGCCCGCGCACTTGCCCATGGACCCATCCTGGCCTGTGACTAGTGACAGGTCCAACAGGTCAGGCCGGCGACCTGGTCCGTTCCGAGGCCAGCCGACCAGCCCTGCCTTGCCCCATCCCAAACTTTTTTTTTTATTTATTTACCCAATAAACCATACATTTGACGAATATAAATTGAAACAAAAATTAAAATAGAGTAGGTAAGTAAAATCTCAAAAAGCAACAACAAATAAAGTAAGTAAAACATGAATTTGTAACATACTGTTTATATATTGTATACTTATACAACTAGGTATCACTTATAAGACTAGCATCCACATCTTTCTTTGGCTCCACAATCTTCACCTTTTGCCTACCATCATTAGACTCTTTTTCCTTTGTCAGCATTAGCTTTAGCAGCCTCCACAACTTTTCCTTCCTTAAGCTTTGACTCAGGTTTCCCTACAAGCAAAACACCATTTTACAATTTTATGAACATGTTAAAGCATTTTAATCAAGCCAGTAGCAAGAGCTACAAAAGTGATACCATTATTAGCAAGAAGACGTGGGTCTTCCTCTTCTTCCTCAGAGTCAAATTCATCAGAAAATGTGAAAAGAAGATGTGCAGCAAATAAGGTAGCATGGAATTATGAAATGAAGGAAGATGATCATTGAACAATGGTTACCTGATTCTCCCTGTGGCCCAGCGCGAATCAACAAAAACACATAGCAAAGGAATACAACTTCAAAATGAGAATCTATATAATACAGCAATCAAGAACAAGAGATACATCCAAAACTGAAAAATTTGTGTAAGGATATTCTTCAAATAGGTTGTTGGCCCTGTATCCATAGAAATAGACACTTGCACTTTTAAAGTTGTGCAACAGCTAGAAATCTCTATCAAACACTAAGTAAAACTATTGTTGAGGCAACTTATCAGCAAAGAGTGTTCCATGAACAAACTTTTTTCCATCAATATTCACAAACAAGTAGACAACTTCAATTCCTTTCTCCTTTTTAAGTTCACCAATACAAGCCTGTCGAAAACAAGGAATTATAATACAGAAAAAGTATCGTAAAAGGAAAATGAAACATTAGTTCATATGAATTGTTTAGGACTTGAGAAAGATGCAAGACCACTCCATCACCACCGGGGGAAACCTTAAGAGGCTCTCCACTTTTCAACTCAACACCTGTTGACCATAATAAAAGGAGTATTTTTTACCAAATATATGCTAAAAATATAGCAATTAAGCAACAGCAGCCCACTCAATATTACAACGAAACTATAATATAAATAAGGGATAAGAAGGGTTGATACGGCACAGAAACCCAACAAGCCATTTATACACATGTATACACAAAATGAAGAACTACACTCCAGGAAGAACCACATAACAAATTGTTGTGAACTAAAAAAACCATTGAAAATGGAAACTAACCTTGAACAGATAACAAAAAGTGACCCTTTGTGCAGCACCAACAAATGAATTCCTAATCACACAAAACAATAAAAAATAAATAAAAGAAATAACTGGTTTGTCTAAATCCAACAGAAAAACAAAAAAAAAAACAAAAACAACTCGAAAAAAAAGGGATAAAAAACCCTAATCAAGGTGGAGAGGTCAATTTTTTTGAACAAATTTGAGGATTTTACAAATTCGAGGGCCCTAATCAAGATAAAGAACCCTAATAAAGCCCTATAAAATCGAACCTTGATGAACCCTAATGATCCAAATTTTCTGATGACCCGAATGAACCGAACGAACCGTAATTTATGAACCCTAATGAACCGAATAAATCGAACCCTAATCAACCAAATTTTTGATGAATTTGATGAATTTCCTAGCCGGAGAGGACCTAAACAATCGAACCTTGATGAACTTTGTGATAAATTTGATGATATCGGGCCTCTCGAATCTCCTTTGGAGCAGCAAACCTCTGGTCGAATTTCTTGCTGGAAAGCCGCGTCTTGGTCGATGTTTTGGTTAACTCTTTGCGCAGAGACGATAATGTGCGTGAAAATTAGGGGGAAAGATGTGCAGTGAAATTTATATCATAAATTGGCTAAAATTATCTATTTACAAAACATGGCTAAAATTGTGACATTTTCTAAAAACATGACATTATTTTAGTACATTTTGCAAAATGTGTTGCTATATAGCTAAACATGACGACACGTTTGTATAAAACGTCATAATTTAATTACACTTTTAAATAAATGTCCCACTATTTGTTGCAATATAACTAAACATGACGACACTTTTGTATAAAACGTCATAATTTAATTACATTTTTAAATAAATGTCCCAATATTGGTTAACACGGTGACATTTTTTAAAAAATGACATGATTTGATTACATTTTTTTAAAAAGCGTTGTTATAATTTTATCTTTGTAACACTTTTTAAAAAGCGTCACAAACACATCAACTTTAATTACATTTATTAAAAAACGTCACCATATTTATGTTGTTAGAACTCCTCTTTGTTGTAGTGGAAATAAAATTATAATTGGAGCTTTCATATTTGTTGAAGTCACATATATAGAACAAGTTAACCCTCCTCGAAAAATTAGAATTTAGCTAGCATCCAGGTAAATACAAAAGATATTCATCTAAGATACGTAGACATCTTATTTCTATATAAAGAGTCCTCCAGCGAAATACGTATGCCCCTGCCCTGTCTGGGCCGATCACTCAACCTCCTAGGCATCCCACCTTAGTTCGAAGATAGTTAGACCATCTTGATTTGGGCTAGAGTTGTAAATAGAATTAACCTTTTCGATTTGATTTTGTGATTCTTTTTTTTTTTTTACGAAACGATAGAAGATATTATATAACAAAAACGCACAAATGTGCAAAGTACACAGCCCATGGCTGAATAATACAGCCAACAGCTGAATAAAACTGGGAGGACAGGTCTAAAAGACCGCCTAGAGACGACTAGCAACGCTAGAAAAAAAACTCACAAAGACACAACACCAACGACCTAAATGCGGAACGACCCCAAACGAGGTAATGTGGAACGACCCCCAACGAGGTAATGTGGGACGACTCCAACGGAGTAATCCCTTCCACAGGGGTCAAGTGACCCAAACCTAAAATACAAGACAGACACAAACAGACTAATCCAACCAAGACACAAATATAGATAACAAGAATACAAAAACACAAAATAAAATAAACTAAAAGCCTAAACAAGGAACAACTAAGCCCTTCCCCAGCAGAACATCTGATTCGAACCAGTGGATGAACCATCAATTTCAGGGAGAGATCCAAAAGCCCATGAACAGCCACCGAAACTGCCAACCGGCCTATACAAGCAGCCGAACCCGAACACCAAACCAATCCCCAAAACGACCCACCTCCAATCTCGAGGAACAGCAAACAGACTCCCCACACCAGCACCACCAGAAACACGTCTAACACCACTAGCCGGGCCCGGTAGCACCAAAGCACCTCGTTCCCAACATCAGAGAAAAACGAGGGGGTGGGAGCAATACAGTTCCTCGACTCCGACTACCCCGACATAATGCGTCACAGCAGACGGATCCCAGCCCCACCCGCTGACCCGCACCTCCCCCAACACCATCCCTGCCACGCCAGCAACCAGAGATCCCAATCTCTCCGTAAGCCTCGCCGGAAAGGAGAAGGTCGACCGAAAAGACGCCTCTAAGCACAGACCAAAAGAATCAATAGTCATACCTCCACCAATCACCATCCCTCCGATGACCAAGGGAGAACCACCAATCGCGGACCAGTTGGAGACCAAGGGGCAGACTATCGCTAAAAAACTCGCCGATGACCGAGGCCAGGATTCCAATTGCAGGTCGATAAGGACGAAATCGGGAGAGAGCGACATCAGGGGTAAGCCGAGGAGTCAGAGGGGTCCTTTGGCCAGAGCCCGACGACGCTGAGGAAGGCAATCGACTCCAATTTTGAAGAGAAGCGCCAGCGAGAAAAGGGGATCGGGAAAATCGCGAGAGAAGATTTTTAATTGAAGAGAGGAAGACTTTATTAGTTGATCCTATAAATTCTCCTTGATTTTGTGATTCAAATTAGATATTTGTGATATTTTTTTTTTTGTCAAATGATAAATATATTAGTAACTCAAAGAGAATACATTCAGTATGTCAAAAGAGACCACAAGAACAAGAACAAAACTTGGATCAACTTCCCATTGGAATTACACAGACAGCCAAGGGGTACGAACACCCTGGAAATAAAAACTTCGAAATGGAGACCGCACCAAATTTTAAAAAGGTGGCTACGAAACTCCACGAGGGAGACTAACAAACCCCAAAAATGAAAAATACAACAAGTTGTAGACATCGAAATTTTAATATTTTATTAATTAATGTCTTTATTTATTCTTGGACATAAATCTAAGATAAATAACTAATAAAATAAATATTTCTTACCACCCAGTCAAATCTCAGGATAAGGAACGAGATTACATCAAATCATGAAGTACCAATCAAATTGATGTCTTCTTCTCAAAGACTCTCTCTCCTACACCTATAACTATGGACTCTCCTAAAGACAAAAATCACGCCTCATAATCAAACTCTCAAGTTCAAGAACTTTCAAGAACTCTTTTGAAGATTTGAAGAGGTTCAAGCCGCATTCATTGAGAAGTTCAATCAACATAGCGTTTGATCTGGGAAAAAACTATCAAGCCCTTGAGTCGATGCTATTCAGGCCAAAATCCACATTCTGAGAAAAATAGAAAAAGAAAAACTGTCAAAAAGTCGACTTCAATCAAATCAAGTCCTAACATTTAATATGGCATAAGTCATTTGATCCCCAAAATAATGTGAAAGAAATACAAGATTAGGCCCAAAGAAGATCCAATTCTCAAATCCATTTGAAGATCAAATCGAAATTCACAAAGAGAAGAATCATAGGAGATATATAGAGGTTGTGTCTGCAATATCTTTTGATCGAAATAAAATCAAGTTGTACAAAAGTTTTATGATTTTCGTAAAACTCATTGTTACAAATGTTTTATGTTTTTCATAAAATATATTGTTACAAATAAATTTGTAACAATGAATTTTACAAAAATCATAAAACTTTTGTACAACTTGATTTTATTTTGATAAAACGATATTGAGGGTACAATCTCTACTGATCTCTCTGATTCTTCTCTTCCTGAACTTCTATTTGGTTATTTGTAAATAGATTTGGACTTGGATAACGTTGATCGAGGGTTTGATAGTTTTTTCCCAGATCAAATGTCATATTGCTTGAACTTTTCAACGAACTTGGCTTGAATGTTGCTTGAACACCATTGATGTTCTTGAATTGATTTGAGACTAGTGGATGTCGTCTCTTTACTTCTTGGAAAAGAGTTGACGTCTCTTTTTCTTCTTCTTGGCCTTCTTCTTTGTGAAGATGAGGGGCGGAACTATAAAAAGAGGCCAATTGCAGGGACATTTTTGTCCAAAATAAATGCCAAGTGTCATCTTCTAAAGGCCACATGGATTTTCATATTTGTATAACAGAGATATTTTTTTGTTATCATGCAGGTGAATAAGAAATGATGAATTATTTTATTATCAATTAATTTATTTTATATTTCTGCAATATGTAAAATTATTGTTCAGTTTCTTTTCAAATATTCATAACAAAAAGAAATCGTAGAGAAAAAATTAAATCAGTGGCATCATTTGACCAATAAATGATTTCAAAATCAAGCGTAAAATATAAAATAAAATATAAGTTGTCATTAAAATTTAATTTAGTAAAAGGTTTAAAAAAAAAAAATAGTATAGTAGCATACATGTAACATAAATCATCATCTAATTATCTATACCTATACCTATATAATAAGAATTACTATTTACCAAAAATAGTGAGCAAAAAAATCTGGCAACATTATTGCATACCATTTCGGGCAAGTTTTTTTTTATTTTTTATTTATTAAATGAGAAACATTTAAATATGCCTTCAATCACGAATACTTAGTTTTGGTAACCAAATTGCTCAATTTTGGTACAAGTAATGCTCTTAAAATTTGAGTTTTATTTCAATACTAATCCTTTTTATTATTAATTGATATCAACATTCATTAATTTGGGCAAAAAAAACTTGCAAGTCCATAACCTATAATAATTGTGTGCAATTCATCAAAATCAATGATATCACATAATTAATTGTCAGATTTGTTGGACGCCAAAAAATTTTGTGTCAAAATAATTTTGCCAATCAAAACAAATCTACCGACACACACCCAAATTCTAAAAGTTCTTTTCATTAATCGTAAGCACCCAAAAAATCCAAACATAAAAGTACAAAAATCGAAAATAAAAACCTTCAAAATAAAAATTCCACATTTCTTTTTCAGGCAAAACAACTAAAATTAACAAAATCTACCGGCGCACACTCAAATTCAAAGGATTCTTTTGATTAATTGTAAAAACCAAAAAATTCGAACATAAAACTACAAAATCGAAAATAAAAACCCTCAAATTAAATAATTTATATATTGTTTCGTGCAAAACAGCTAAAACTAATTTAAAGCATCGATTAAATGAAAACTAAAAAAGAATATATATTTATAAGACCTTCAGTGTTAGAACGGAAAAGTTGGAAGAAGATCGATGAAAAAGACGAAAGAAGTAGCTGGAAGCGGCAAAAATTGAAGGAAAAAATGAAGCCCTTGGTCCGATAATTTCACTATCCATACCATGTTTAGTGTAATCTAAACCTTCAATTTGCGTTGACTAATCTGGATTGTTGGATTATTTTTTCTGTTTTGTTTGGACCGATATGAACTTTCGAAGCCAACATTGTAAATTGAGCCAATATGAACTTTTTGAAGCCCACATTTTTCAAAAACATTCCTATTTTACAAGCCCAACATGATTAATATAAACAATTACACGTATCTTATAATAATAAGTATTTATTAGGTTTAATTATAATCAATGATCGGTGCTTTATTATATAACTAGTGTATACCCCGTGCGATGCACGGAAACAATATTAAATTAATAGTATTATAAATAGACCTCGAGTTTGAGTCACTC